ATGATATTTTYAGGGAGAACACTTCCATATGASAGAAATGACTGCAATGGCCCCAGAACTGYCCCCAATTCAGACAAAGTGATATCACGGGACTTAGTTAACGACTGAAGGAACTTTGTGGAAGATGTAAGCCAAAAATGTTCTCTCATGTGCGACTTGATAGCTTTATCTTCCGACGAATCAAAGGTAACTGGGTCAATCGGATTTACAACATACGGATCAACAAAGTAAAACTTCTTATCTATAAAATATTCTTGAACCAAAAACTGCAAAGGTGTCTTTCCGTCTGCAGTGAGTGCTAAACCATTAGCACCAAGCTCAAAAAGTTTATCAAATACTTCAGTTGTTTTACATTTGCAAGCATAATGGATGGGAGTCGTGTCATTTGGACCTTTGCTGTTGATATCTGCGCCATGTTCCACGAGAATAGATACTACGTCTCCATGTCCCTGACAAGAAGCAACGTGAATTGGCTGCAAGCCTTTCCAATCTGTCGCATTATGTTCAGCGTTATGTTCCAGAAGCAAACTCGTTATAGCAGCAAAGCCGTGATGTGCTGCCAGATGTAGTGGAGTGTATCCACGAAATTTGAGATCAAACAAACCGTCTCTGACAAATGACTTACATCTATTCGAAGTGTCAACGCCATGATTTAGAAACGCATTTACTGCTCGATAACTGTTGTGATGAACTGCTTCATGGATTGGCTCTTTGCCAAAGCAATTTACACAATTGATTGCATTATGTTTTGAAGTGAGCAGAGTTTCTATCACATCTGGGTAATCACCAATGGCCGCTGCATGCAAAGCTGTATTGCAATTTCGAACAAAGTCTGATATCTGATCATCGATGCCATCACATCGAATACACGAGTCTTTGAYTCCTTTTTTTAATAGAAACTCTACGATCTCAACTTGCCCATATAAAGCAGCATAGTAAAGACAAGTGTTGTCTACCTCTGCCCCATGTAGYAACAACAGCTCGACGATTTCAATATGACCAAATTCAGCTGCAAGTTGCACGGCGCTGTTACCCGTTGCTGACAACAAAGACACATCACTGCCATTGTTAATAAGGTACTCGACTATGTCTTTGTGACCCTTTTGAGCAGCCACATGAAGCAGCGAGTATCCACACATTTGACGCTTGCATTCCAGAGCATCATCAATTTTGCTCTTTTTGACAACTGGCAGCCGTTTTGTCACTCGAGACAAAGATGCTCCTTTCTCGTGAAGTAGACGTAGGTTGTTGAAACGACCAAATGTAACTGCCATAAATGCAGCCGTACGTCCTTTAATATCTTCGACATTTGCATCTTTAAAAATGTTTAACAACATACCTAGTACCTTTTCGTCTTCTGCTTCCGCAGCAAGATGGAGTGCAGTAAAACCAGTACGTTTGTCTTTAACTTTGATTAACGTAGGATCAATTTTAAGGAAGCTATCCGTGTGCCTCTTTAGATGTCCTCCAACAACAATGTACGTAGTTAAATCGAAGATAAACTTGGGATTTACTTTGCTGAAATTTCCATTGATTACCTTTAAAAAGTGATTAGCTAAGGCTCTGCTTCCTTTCTTTTCATTTACATAGAAAACTCCGCCCTTGTTTGAGTCACTTGTTAGCCATTCAGTGAGGGAATTGTGAAAGACACTAACGATCGACTGTCTGTCCTCTGTATAGAGAAGATACATTGACAGATCTTCTAGAACTGGTAGCAAATCGTAGTTCAAACCAAAATCCTTTTTTTCATCGGAAAGAATGTCATACAACTCCATAACAGTTACCGGCGACTTTGTAGCAACTAAAATCTCAAATATTGTACGAGGTGCACTGAATTTTTCAAGTGAATCAAATTTCCGTTCAAAAAAATCTTGATAGACGCTATTTATAGAATCTGGAAGATGGCTTTTATCTGTTAGTTCTCTTTTGAGCAGATATTCCAAAATCAGTTTAATATATAGGAAGTTTCCTTGACTTTTCTGGACAAGGTCCGAAACTGACGTATCTTTGCCWGAGAGGACGTAACTCCTTACCCGAGATTGAATAGACCCCTCTAATTTTGAAGTTAGGAACCTTTCGATATCTCGCAAGTTTTCTGGATCGTCAGGATGAAGTTCAATCAAATCAAGATTCCTAAGCTTTCTTCGTATGTTTGATTGGTTTCTAGTGGTGGTAATGACCTTTAGCCAGGATGGAAACTGTTTTATTTTATGCTGAAGGACATCCACTATGGTTCTTCCAGTGTTTTTTTCCTTTTCGTCTAGGCATTCATCTAATGCATCAACAACTATGTACATTGAATATTCAAATCTTAGTTGAAGTTTCAGCAATGGAGCAAGAATTCCTTGCTCGAAGCATCCTGTTGGATCTCCCAAGCATTCAACTTTGAGAATTCTTTGTATAAACTTTTCCTTATACAATAAGTCTTTATAATTTGGTAATCTCGATGCTATCATGTTTGCCAGATTACGAACAAACTTGGCACCATTCAARGTGTTTTTGTCAGAATGAATACARAAGTGGTATCCTAGAATTTGGCTGTGTAATGAAAGTCTTGACAGTTTTGAGCAAATCAGATATGATATCAGTGCCGACTTCCCAAAACCTGGTGGACCAACGATCAAGACTCCTCTGGATTCTTTATGCTTTTGTTCGATTGATTCTGTAATATTATTGAACAACCACTGGCGTCCAACGAAACCTTCTCTTGTTCGATTCAGGTACTCAGTGAAATCAAATTGCTTCAGCTCAAATGGATCGACATCGTAGAGCTTGTTTCTTTCACAATCTACAGTTCAGTAAAATATAAAAGTGACTTTTGAGTCCTTTGTTATTGCATTATAGGAGGYGGAGAAGGCGGGGGTGCCCTAGCACCCCTATTTGACAGCGGTGGGGTTCTAAGCCGCGTTTTGGGTATAAATCTAACTTCACATTTTGTATCTTGTTGTTGTGGGTTGACTGAAAATATTGTGAGAAAACTGTTTACTAGAGGGAAGGAGAATGTATTCTGGTGGATCTGAGAATGATCTACATGCTGATGCCTATAGGGACAAGGCTAAACCTTGTTTTTCTTCCTTTCACAAGGGGACACCAGCAACACGTACAACCATTCTATTCACATGTCAATTGCAAATGTTTACTGTCCGCTGTATTAAGACAATGCTTAAGGGCTTCGTTTCCAAATATCTCACCACTATAAAGAGTGTTTACGAACGTGAGCATTTTCAAATCATATTAGTGTAAACCCAAGACCAAATACTTACCAGAATCTACCGTATTTTCCTCAAGAATGGTTACACTCAGCACCAGGAAGAGAATTAAGACTCTGGCCCGACTTAGAATTATTTTGCCCGCATTCAAATACACTATCAACAGTTTCACGATCAACAGAAAGAAGCTGTTAAAGATTTTCTCAAGGGTATTCAGAATCCATCTATTCTGTTTGCTTTTCTCTTGCTCCCTTAGCTCGATTGTTTCTATTCTGTTCTGTATGTCACTAAGAACGTTGTCTCGATCGGCATCACCTTTCATGCAAAAATGAAGAATGTCTTTTATTTCTGTCGYATGAGCKGCATTTCGATCCACTTTTTCGATGATTTCATCTTTAATAGAAATGATGAAATCTTTTAAGTGGTTTATCGCTTGGACTTCGATATCTTTAAAATCTATGAGGRTATCACTCTCCAGTTTTGTGACCTCATTAAGGGCGTCAATAACATCAGGATCTGAACTAAACTCTGCATCTTGTAGAAAATCCTTCATAGACAGGAAAGCATYATTTGTTKCAGTTGCATCAAACTCTTGTTTGGGTGCGTGTCCCCATGCATTTCTTGTGTCMMTKAACTTTTCTACAAGCATAGTGTCAGTCTTATAATAGTTACACCAGTACAAAAGATTCAGGAGCCCAGTAGCATCAGTCTCTGCACAGGAATTCCCTTTAGCACAACCRTAGGGCATGTACAGTTTGGCTACCTCCCAGTGACCAACACTGGGGTCATTCCATAGTGAAGCATTACTTTGACTCCATGTTGCCTTTCCTTTTGTGTGATAATTCAACAGCTCCTTAGCCCACAAGCAGGTAATCATATTATGATAAGGATGTCTCGTGTAAGTACATGTACAGAGAGGAAGTCCATGAAGACTGGTTGTCACTATGCCATGGAATGCCTTCGCTTCTTTTTCTACGTATGGTCGTATTGCTTTACACACCAAGTCAATCCCATATCCTATCTTAACCCAGTTTTTGTAGTTATCGTTTTGAAGCCTCTGTTGCCAAGATGGCAATATCAGAACTCTTTCGTCTTGCATAACAAAGATACTACCAGGAACCTGTTGAAACCAGTTCCATCCGTAAATATCTGGGGCAATTAAATAATCTAATGTTTGCACTATACATAAAATACCATCTGACTCGATTCTTCCAATATCGAGTCAGAATTTCAAGATAAATTTTGTCTTATTATAAATTATATAAGTACAAATAAATATAAAATAAAGAGATATAAGTGGCTTTATTCAGTTATTGCAGGGTTACATAGTGGAAAACGGACTTTGTTCGTATCCGCGTCTGGTTTTCCATCCATTAATAGCTTTATATACACGATGAATAACCCTATTCATTTTATAATTAGTGTTGTAACGCCAATCCTTTAAGATTCTACACAGACTGATATAAAAATACACGAATGCATAATTGCCTTTCGCTGATATTCTTCTTGTATTATTGACAATTGATGTAGCAGGTTTTTTCGAAGCCCAGTGTAAAGTAAGTGAAGGGATGTACGCAGCAAAGTAGGTCTTTTAATAAGTTAACCAGTCCTACCAATAACATATATCTTTCCCGAAAACAAGCTTTCTTTCTCTCAGTGAAAAAGCTGTAAATAGTTTAACATTTCTTAGGCCAGTCCTCTCGACTGATTCAGGAGATTAAATAAATATGTTAGTGAAAACTTAAAAGAATTACTTTAAAAGACTTAAATAGGAATCCACTTTTACCATTTTAAGAAATAATAATATTGCGAACGCTGCGATGTCGCCAAAAAGAGGACTAGTTATATTAAGTTTTGCCTTTAAACTAAGTTGCTTTGGAAGAAATTAAGCGGCAGTTTAAAAGATAATTTTCTTACCTGAGAATTTTCTTAATCAAAAGTGTACCCTCAATAGTCGTCACTTTGCTTTTGCTATTTGAATACTTTAAGGGGCAGTGAAATTCTGAAGCAAATTGAATCCTACAAAGTAAATGTTTGTGTGCTAATAATTCTCSGAAAAATATATAATTAATTCTGAGAGTCGTCATGGTCAGGTGTCACGATTAGTCTAGAAGGTTCGTGACAACGTATGTAAATTAATCCTGTCCCATATTAAAGAATGAGGAAAGTGCTTGGTGAATTGACAAGATTTAAAGAAAAATATTACATGAGAGATCTGTAGAAAGATAATGTTTGTTTTCTTCTAAAATTAAGAAAAGTATTATCAAAAACCTTATAGATAGCGTGACCTTTGGAAGATATTATTTTCCATAGCAACACATTTTCCAGACGTGACAACATCGCTAAATATACCTTACATTTCCAAGAAACTATACTAGTTCTGCCACAAAGCATCGTATTAGCATAATAAATATACACAAGGTTTTGTAGTGCTTCTCTAATACTTTTATAAAAGCGAGTTAATTTGATCATGCATTTAAATTTGACCGTGGTGTGCTTTTATTCGTAGTGTCCCAAAATGGAAGAGGCAAGGGTAGTAGTATCAACTTCTTGGCAGCAAAGCCTCCAAAACGAAAAGTACAAAAACTGGCTTAAAGTCACCCATGCTCTTTCTATTACGTGTGCAGGAATACGACCATACACAGAAAGAGAAGCGAAGGCATTCCATGGCATAGTGACAGCCAGCCTTCAAGGACTTCCTCTCTGTACATGTACTTACACGAGASATCCTTTTCATAATAYRAYTACCTGCTTGTGGGCTAAGGAGCTRTTGAAGTATCACACAAAARGAAAGCCAACATGGARTCAAAGTGATGCTTCACTATGGAATGAYCCCARTGTTGGTCACTGGGAAGTAGCCAAGCTGTACATGCCATACGGTTGTGCYAAAGGRAATTCCTGTGCAGAGACTGATGCTACTGGGCTCCTGAATCTTTTGTMCKKGTGTAAMTATTATAAAATTGACAGYAMACTTGTARARAAAGTTAAAGACACAAGAAATGCWTGGGCACACGCAGCAAYACAGGAGCTTGACGCAGCTAACACAACTGATGCATTGCTGTCCATGAAAAATTTTCTGCAAGATGCAGWGCTGATTGGCGAYGCYRATGCTRCTGATGCATTAAACGAAATMATTGCATTAGAGAATRATGATCTGATTGACTTTAARGACTTGGAAACTAAAGTGGTCAATGAATTAAGAAAATCAATGACGTCCATGAAGGATGAACTTGTTGGAAAAATTGACTCTATGAAAGGCCAAGAAGATATTCATGCTAATGAAATCAAAGAAGAAATCGAATGTGTCAAAACAATGGTTAGTTACTGYATGAAAGTTGGACAAGAAAGAGAAGATGTTCTATCAAATAATACAAGTGTTCTTTGTAATATACAAGATCAAATGGATGTTTTACTGCACAGATTGGAAAACCTAGASAGCAATAATGAAGAAAGGTCCAGGGAAAACAGCACCGTTAAAGCTATGAAGTATTCTTTAAAACATCTGTCATTGTGGGCCATTATTTTTATTCTCAAGGTGCTGAGAGCTATTCCAAGAAAAGTTATAATAATGATATTTTTGCTTGGTGCTATTACAACTTTGGATGAMAATTTAGACGAAATTGGTAAGTTAAATTATTTGATATTGTTGATGCTATTTTTTCTCATGCTTCTGTGGATGATGATGATAATAGACCGTATTCGTCTTGGTGCAATATTTTTCCAGCATAACAGACCACGTGTCATTCCAAAGAATATAGTTTCTATCTAATAATAAACTAAATATACAAAAAGGGGTTTAACAGTGGCATTTCTACAGAGTAGCTATTCATCAACTGTAATTCCAATTGGAATTTAGGAGTTGATTTTTGTTTTTTTTTCCTTCTATCTTTAACGGTTGTGCATAAGAAGACACATGAATATAGATACCTCTCAAACTGATAGAATTTTATTCTCTAGGGAATGACACATGGTTCTTATGGGAAAACCGATTCCATACAACGATTAAGATGAATAAGGTCTTACTATTAATTAGTATTAATTTTGGTAATAGTGATTGCTGAAGATTATGTGATGA